ATAACATAACACCACAGAAATGAGACAACCCCCAAATCCAAAGCCAGAGGCTGTGCGGAAGGGGGTTACATTTGAAAAAACGCGGACAAACGCCCTTTATCCATCGACATTGCCAGTGCCGACATCAGGGATCGAACCCGGACCAGAATAGGAAGTCTGGCCGAGAAATGCCTGCCACGGTATGCTCAACCGACTACGCTACCGTGGTTATTATTATTACCATTATTATTATTATATTTACAGATGATGAGGAAGAAATGGCAGGAATCGACATTGACTCCAGCGACCATGAGTTTGAGGGTGATGAATCGGAAGACGAAATAGATTAAATTTTTTCATACATAATGTTTATTGTAAATAAATATTCGAAAAAAGTTGTATATTTTTATATAATTACTACTAAGACTTAAAAATTGGAAAAATTATAGATATCTCATACCGCAAAAGCTGAAATTTGTTAATACAATGGCTAATTTAATAAGTTAAATGAAAAAAATACTCAGCTTTATATTTAGTGAGGGAAAGTGCTCAGCTGATAAAGTTAAAGATGCAACGCGCCCGCGCGTATAGCGATGTGCTGCGCCTTCAACTCGTCGGCTGAGCACTTATACACCACAAAAACTTCAGCGGACCATTTTTTTCCTATAACTGGTTAAGTTGACTATTACTTTACCAAATTTCAGCTTTTGCGGTATCAGTTTACCTAGCGCATATTTTTGACTTGTTTAGGTGAAAAGCTGAGGCATAACCCCCCACTCTAAAGTCAGCTGATCGGGTTTTTTCGTTTGTTTATAACATAATCAACTTGTCGACAAAGTCCTAGCTTTTGCGGTATTAGTTTTTTTATTTTATTATTTTACATGTTTGGGAGGCTGCCGCAACTATACTCCCCGGAAGTGCGCGAGCTGGAGGTCGATTCTCTTACTAGTGACACCAAATGAAGCGTTGGAAAACTTTTCAGCTTTTGCTCTTTTGGTCAACAAAAAAGGTTGCTGGCTCTTGGGCTATTATGAAAACTGTTGCAAGTTAAACAATCCCTAATGATATGACCACTTACATTCCACAAGTCGCACCTCCCAAATGTGCGGCATGATCAAAAAATTTCCATGCCATAACGACACCGGCGGCGTCCAGTGCGATAATAAATTTGATGGCCTGAAGAATTATGTAAAAATTCACGAAAAATTTGAAGATGTCTTACTTACCGCTCCAGCGGAAAATGTAAACACTGGTAACAGGATAATTCCTAATCTCGTGTCGGGAAACTGCGTACACACATAACCTAAAATTCCCATGATAGCGCCAGACTGGAAAAAAAATTAATAAACAGCAGATTCACTTTTAGTATCGCTTAAAATTTAAATACTCACAGCCCCTAAAGATAGGCCAGGCTGTTTCGTAATGACTTTGTAAAGGTAACTAGTAAAACTTGAGAAAACGCCAGCAGTTAAATAGAGCGCCAGGAACTGTTCCTTTCCCAGGCTGTGTACAGCTCCTTAAAAGAATTTATATTCAAACAAAAAAAAAAGTCACAACAAAGTTATTGATGTGTTACCGGTGCTGAAACTATGGAGAACGTACATGTTGGCCAACAGGTGAAAACCAGAATAATGGCTGAAAGTAGATAGGATCATTGGTAAACAGACATTCTCGCTGGCGGGATTCGAACAAAAATATTTCATCATAAATGGCTGTAACTTTGGAATACGCCATGCGACAAATACTAATACATTAATAGCACATATTGGCACAAATAGTTTTTCTCCTGGTGTAAGATTATTCCACCACTGTTTGACCTCTCGCGTAATTTCATTCTAAAATGTTGAGAAAATATTGAATAGTTGGAGTTGACAAAGAAGTAATTACAATAACGACCTACTGATTTTTCAATTCCTCGCTCCGACTTGTTCCTAAAAAATTTGATTGGTCTTTTAATCATACTAATGGCATGTGCTCGCATATTCTCGTATTCCCATATTGCCGCACCCAGAAACGAAGCTCCAGAGAACTGAAATACCAAATATATAAAGTATCCAGCAAATACTTCAAATTACTATTCAACAAACATACCCCAATTGTAAATAAAAATGGCTTCACTAACTTTCCTGTATGTAAACTTGCCGAATCTACTGTTACATTCGTGAAAGGGGTTGCTAAACTCTCGGGGTTTGCTTTCGGTTCCTCGCGGTGAATTTTGCCTCTTTTAAAATTCCTTATATTAGAAGGGAGACGAGGCTCAAAATTTTGTTTTTTCAGCAGAATTCCCTTTGAAAAACTAAAAAAATATAATTCAAAATATAATTATTTTAACTTTTATATTACTTACCAAAGATCTGAAATTTTAAACATACGACTTAATGCCATTGTATAACAATAAAACTATTACATTTACTATACTTTTGAAATGTGCATTATTTAACCTAACAAATTGTGAATATTTTGATATTTTTAACATTTTCAGGTGTTGGTATCACTGTATTCTTCATATTCTTCATAATCTGAAACACAACAGCTGATTGGCTAAATTATAAAAACCCGCCACCATTTTCTATATTCAACCAATCAGATGCTCTAATTTTAGGTTTTATGAAAATCATGTACGAAAGAATTTGCCCTTTTACGTTCAATATCATGGAAGAAGCAGTTAATGAAAGAAATACAGGGTGATTTACAAATGGTGATCAAAAATAAAACTTCATATTCTTTGGCGAATTTTAAGGGAAGTCTTTCCTATGAAGCTTTTATCTAGGATGCGAAAACAGGGTGTTAAACTTCAAAAAATATTTTTAATTTTTTAAATTATTTAAAAACTAGTAAGTGAAATAATTTAAAATTGGGCACATCTATTTATGTAAACAGTGTCCAAAATCTGAGGGCTTTTCCTAAAATTTACATGCTCAAGTGGCGGAGATACAGGGTATCGGTGGCATATTTTTCTGAATAAAGTAGTACTTACGTCACTGCTTTAAGTTAACAACCATGATATTTTCGGATTCGTCTTTCAATTTTCTACAAATTACTACTCTCTTATGTTTTTCGAAAAAGGCCTGATTTTCCAGTAAAACTTAAAAAAACAACTGAGAACACTTTTACTTAAATGACATGACGAGCACTAATCATTCGGTTATAAATCAGGCTTTTTTCGAAAAACATAAGAGAATAGTAGGTAATTTACAGATAATTGAAAGACAAATTCGAAAATATCATGGTTGATTGGTTGGAACCATAAAGCAGTGGCGTACTATTTTATTTAGAAAAATATGGCACCAATACTCTGTACCTCTGCCGTTATAGAGTATGTAAATTTTAGGAAAAACCCTCAAATTTTGGACACTGTTTACATAAATAGACGTGACCAATTTTAAATTATTCCACTTACCAGTTTTAAATTATTTAAAAAAATTAAAATTATTTTCGAAGTACACCCACGAAAAGTAAAAATTTTGTACCGTCCGTGTCTATCAAAGCAGACCGATTCATACACAAATTTAAATAATAATATAGAATTCAATTGTAAGTAACTTTCCTCAATAAAATATTTGTGTAGGTAATGTTAAAAACAAAACGATTTATATATTCACCAATTTATTGATAACCTTGTACATGCAAGGGGAACATTCTCTTATCCCAACCGCATTTTACAGACAAGCAAAAAATTTAAATGAACAATGCCTTTTTCTCGTAAAAATAAATATAAATGTCAATTCTAAAGAACTTTCCTTACTTAACATATTTCTGTACTGTTAAAAACGAAGGCAGTTTATTCTGGGAAGATTTATATGTTTACCGATTTTCTGAATCTCTGTACATGCCAGGTGAAATTTCTTCATGACAATCGCATTTTAAACACAAACATAAAACTTAATGTAATAATTTTTGCAGTAAAATGAAAAATAAAAATATTTTACCGTCCCTCTCTACGAAGGTTTATGCTTACACAAATTAAAACTTCAATTGTAAAGTACTTTCCTTAATAACATATTTCTATAGTAAAAAGAACGACACTTTATTCTTGAAAATTCTTTATATATAGCGATTTTGTTATTACACCAGGAAAATTAGCGAAAATAAAAGAGAAACTCGAAAAAAGTCCTATCCGCGAGATTATAGTAAAATTGTCTAAAGAACATAATACAAGACATCTTTCGTCTCGTGAGTCAAACACTTTTATTAGCTAACTTTTCTATTTAATCAAATAAGTGGGGAAAACAGTTTTTTCACTTTGCAGGAAAAACCATCAATTTTAGCGAAAAGAGACTCATACAGCTTGTAGGGAGTAAAATTATCTACAAAATAAGACTTGTTAAATTAAAATCGGTTAATAAACAAAAAAGTTATTTCAAAAAAACAAGAAATGTTCCCATTTTTTGATTTGTTTATAACTATCGCATTTATTGTTAAAATTTTATAAAACCTATGACAAGTTGAGGGTTTTGTCATAATTCAAAAGTGTGACAAAAGTGGGCGCTGTAGGTGCAATAGCTTTCGCACAATTCTATTTTTTTATAACAGAGGCTCCAAAAGTTATTTATGAACTTTAAGCCTCTGTGCAGGCGTTAATTTTCAACCAAACGTGATTCTGAAAGCGTCATTGCAATCTCAAAGACGTAATTGAGCGACCTATTAAAAAATATCACCGTTGTTTAAACGTTATTGGTGGGGAAAGCTCGTCCAAGCGGTCGCGCGCGCGAGAAAAGTTAATTCCAAAGTTCAAATTGAAATTTCACAATATCTCTGGTTCTATTCACCGTAGAAACTTATTTTCTTATTTAACGGGGAGCTCGACGAAAAAATAACAATGGGCATATTTACGAATTCGTAGAATAGCCCTGAACCCCAGAGAAATATCCTTCTTTTACACTTAATTTTTTTTAATTTTCAAAATTGTCAAAAATTTTTCTTAAACGAAATATTAATTAAAATTTCAATTTCGGAATTATTTTACTATTATTAATAAATAAATGAAGCTATCGCTCATTTAAAAAGCTATTTTTTTTTTAATATTAAGGCAAAGTAAACTTGTTTTTCCAATATTTTGTTAGCTATTTAATAACGCTTTGAAGGAATTAATATGCATTTTTTGGGGTGATCCGAATATTTCTACTTGCATTCGTGCGAAAATCTTATAAAAAAAAGATAAGCCACATATTTTTCCCGTTTAAAAATTATTTTTGAAATACGCCAACAATTCTGAATTAACGAATTAGATTTCTTTAAAATTTTTTACACATTTTATTTTAGGTCTTCTAAATGTTTTATTTAAAGGTGCAAGTAGAAATATTTGGAACACCCCAAAAAAATTGTCTAAAGAACATAAGACATCTCTCATCTCGTGAGTCAAAAACTTTTATTAGTTAACTTTTCTATTTAAACAAATAAGTGAGGAAAACAGTTTTTTCACTTTGCAGGGAAANTAAAAACAGGAGATCTCATAGTGAAAACAGTAGAACAGGAGAGTGAGAGTGAAAAGAGGAGATCTCCTGTTAAAACAGGAGATCTGGTAACACTGTCTACTAAACTCGATATAAATAAAATAAAATTGGTTATTTGCTTACTTCACTCGTATTTATGGAGCTACATTCATTTGGGACATATGGAACACTAGCGCCACCCCAACTTCTGCCATTTCTTGGACAAATTTTGTCAATATTTCCGTATGAGTTCGTGCTCCTTATCTAGTCTCCATGGATTAGAGGGCGAGAGAGAGAGAGAGAGCAAATTTCCAAACTATCGTTCTTTTTCTTTACAGTCTACACCACAGACCACCTAGACTTGCCGTATCTAATTCCAATACACGGGTACCAGTGAATGCAAAATCCGGGTAAGTGGAGTGTGGAAGGCAATCGGATCGCGCGCATCTTTAAGCAGATCCGGTTTAAGTAATATTTTTATTACATATTAAACATTATATTGCATCTTATGACAAATATTCAATTTTAAGTTTGTAATTCAGAAAATAGTATATTTTAGTGTCATATTAAATAAAACTACAAAATAATTTAAATATATTTATTATCCTCTAAATAATATTTATTAATTTATTTAATATTTGCCTTTTCGTAGATTTTACCGAATTAAATAATTTGACTTCATGATTTATTCGTACATCGATATACTTTTCACATTCAGCCCTTACAAGTTCTATTAAATGATTACAATTGTTAGGCAAATTATCAAATTGATGTTCATGCAAATTTTCAAATATGTTCACATTCAGAAA